GAGGCCATACACAGCCAGCGGCAGTGGCCCGTTGCTCTGTCTTTCGTAGAGAGGAAGGTTCTTCCGGTACCGACTGAGACCCTTTCGCTCCGATATCGGGAAAGGACGGTACCGACTGGACGTGTCGGTGTCTGCCCCCGTCGGTATCGCGGGGTGACGGTACCGACAGTACCGAAGAATCGGAGGAGACCAATGAGGAGGATGAGGAGTCGGATGAGGAACTCCGCACAGCGAGGCTGTATAGAAGCCGCGGGTCGTAGAGCTTTTGCATCTGCTTCCGCCATTTCCTCAAATAGCCCTTGGAGAGTTTGAGCGGAGCGGGTTTGTCCTCCATAGCCTCATGCCTCTTAGGCTTCTTGGGGCGAACATGTCGAGCCCCGCGGGGGGAGACCTTCGGTCCCGAGGGGCTCGGAGACCGGGAATCTCCAGAGGCTGTTTCCAAATGCCGTGTTTTAGCTTTCCTCTTCCTAGGGGACAGGAAGAGAGGTATGTCCGGCGTATCGACCGGCGGTGGTAAGGATGGTGGAGAAGAAGCTGCCGACGAGGCCTGGGACGGAATCTCAATAGGAGATTGCGGAGTAAGAGCAGGCAGGGAGGGCGACGGTTGGAGTTGAGGAGTGGCCGCAGGAGACGGCGGGGGAGGAATGGCGGCCGTGTCCTGACTCTTAGGAGGCTTGGGTTTTTTAGAAGCCTTCTTGGTAGACGTAGGCGGCTTGCCATTGGCCCTAGTCTTAGGGCCGGGTGCAGGACCCGAATCTGCAGGCGCAGAGGACGCCGCCATAGCAGGTGCGGTGAGGGATTTTTCCCAAAGCGCTGCCCGAAGACGCTGCTCTCTAAGTCTCAGGCCTTGCCGGGTAAAACGTTCGCAGTGGCGACAAGTCTGGGGGATATGTGACTCCCCAAGACAAAATAAACAATAACGATGGCCGTCCATAGAAGGGATCTTTTTAGAACAGGCGGCACAGCTTTTAAAAGTAACTTTAGGTGAAGAAGGTGCCTTGGAGGCCATAAAAGAAAAAAGGCGGGAAAAGAAACAGTCCAAGAAATAAGGGGGAAAAAGGGGTAGGGGAGAGAGGGAAAACCCTCAGACACAGTCCAAAAACTCCCCTAATAATAAGATGAAGTAAAGTACTTCCCTTGAAGCATGAAAAGCGGAGCCAAATCCAGGAATCTTCCAGATCTTTCCAATATTTCACGGAGCTCTAGCTAGGAGACCTAACTGCAGCAGCGGAAAAAATGGAACTGAATGGCTGTTAGGGCGGGCGGACCATGAGGTCCTAGGGGGGCGGAGCCAAAAGTGTTACTTTAAGCTCTAGAATGTTCCGAGGCCTTCTGCGCAAGCGCAGATTAACCCATTAGTGTGATTTCACAGAGTCCACGAAGAAGAACTAGTCTTTTTGAAGTCCTTATCTAAGCAGGGAAGGGGATCAGAGCAAACCAACAACCCCTTCCAAACTGTAAAGCACTTAGTGCAGCCAGAAAAGCAAGGGGAATAATTAAGAAGAACTTAGGTCAAGAGAACTGCTGGATAGCTCAGTGCTTTAAGCATCTGGCTGCAAAGCCAGAGGTTGGGAGTTCAAATTCCCCACTGTGCCTCATTGACAGGAGCTGGACATGATAATCTATACAGTCCCTTCCACCTCTGCAGTTCCAAGATGACTATTGTATCCCAACTCAGTCCCTGTTCTTCCTAGTCATTTCCTTCACTGTGCCAAAGATTGGAAATCTAGTTCTGTAGGGTGCTTAGCCTCATGGCGCAGTGGTTAAAACGCTGTACTGCAGCTAAAACTCTGCTCAGGACCTGGGGTTCAAATCCCAGGTAGCTGGCTCAAGGTTGACTCAGCCTTCCATCCTTCCGAGGTCGGTAAAATGAGTACCCAGCTTGCTGGGGGGGCAATGTGTAGCCTGTATAATTAAAATTGTAAACCGCCCGGAGAGTGCTTGTAGCGCTATGGGGCGGTATATAAGTCCAATAAATAAATAAATAAATAAATAAATAAATAAATAAATAAATGTAGTGTTGACATCTAGGTGTTTGACTTGCATCTGTCTGGAGGGTGCTACACTCAGGAGCATTCTTATCGTGCTGCGTCTGACAACTGGAGCAAATGTGTCATCAAAGTTTTCTTCATACTTCTGCAGAAATCCATGTAAAAGGGGAGGGGGGAAATCTCCCCTGAATGGTATCTACCCGGTCAGACACTGAACAGTGAGCCAGTGAGCTTGCAGACAACATGCAACAATGAGTTCATGCTAAGTTTTCAATATTTCAGTACATCATTTAAAATCTTCATGTATTTCATCTATTCTAAATATGATTCAGGAAACATAACTAAGTATTGCATTATGACATAATTAGTCATAATTAAAGCAGGCCCAATAATTCCAAAGGGTCTACTGCAAGTACAGCTAAATCTGAATCCAAACCTTTAGTATTAGAATTGACCAAGTTCTCGCCCTTGTGTCTCCTTCCTTCCTTCCTACACAACTGCTTAATGTGAGCATTACTTTCTAAAAGCCCTATTCAGGCATTATGAATACAGATAAAGTAAATGGATGGGATATGTACATTAGCTCTCCCCATCTTTGCCATTTTGCTGTCCCTCTCATTGCTTGGAAAGCAACTTTCCCAAAAGGAGAGCCTCCACCATCTGTAGAGCTTCCAAACAGCATTCAGAATGCTAGAGAATCACTTTACTGGAACGGCATGGAGGACTTACACGGGCAGACACCTCGGCTCCAGCAAGTGGCTCTCCCTTTGAGGGGCACCAACAGAGTTGCTCAAGAAGGCAGAAAGCACACCTGTCACATGCCAACTAAATCCAGAAGTGGCCTCCACAAGATTAAACTCTCATTCCCACAGAACCCTTACTTGCCTCCAAGCTCACAATCAACACAGGGTACAAAACAAGTTTCTGATCCTCATCTTGGCAGACTGCGAACTTGCCACCCTTTTGTAATAATGTGATTATTTCCCTTAAATATTTCTGAATTATTTGGCAACTTGGCAAATAGAAGGAAAGATGAGGCTCTACTCTTTCTCTCTTTGTTATTTACATGGAACCCATAATATGTAGTTTACTCAGAAGGCAGTAATGCTTATCTCCATGAACAAATTGCTTATCTCCATTTACATGGAACCCATAATATGTAGTTTACTCAGAAGGCAGTAATGCTTATCTTCATGAACAAAGTTAGGCCACAGGAAAGACATGGCAAAGCAGGTAGCAGAAAATCTTGCAAGCAGCCTTTGCACAGTGTTAGTGGTAGGAAGCAAGTGGGAACAAGGCTGAAGAGGCGTGTTTACATCCTATAAGGAGCAAGAAACAAGCTTTCCGTAGCTAACAGGAAGCATAAAAGTGTCCCCTAATGCACACTTTACCACCAATATCACGACATTACATTTTGCACACAGCTTGCCAAACAAATTATACTTTAATTTCCAAGGACCTACTTACTTGGGGCTGATTTTCTTTGACTGAACTTTAAGCACAGCATCATGTGCCAAAGCCAGTTTTTCCTTCTCAGTTGCTCCACCCTTTTGATAGCACTTAGCAGCCACCTGAAATAAGGATAATCACAGTTAAATTTACAGTTGGAGTTAAAGTATGTTATCAACAGAACAGAGATGTGGTACCGTACAACATTTAGAATGGTGAACTAGAAAAGAGGTAGGGTTGCTAGCTTTTCTGTTTAATTATCATTTCCTGCTTCTAAGCTTTTGACAACACTTGAATGTGCCAGTTATAGCAAGCTGCAATTCTTATCTTATGTGCAGGATCATGTAGTACTTAGTAGGCAAACTAGGGTCCTCCAGATTTTTAGGACTATGACTCCCATAAGGCTCAGCCAGCAAAGTTAATATTCAATGTGTATGAGTGCTATAGTCCAAAATATCAAAAAGAAAGTTTACAGGTAGCTTTCATGACTGGGATCTATTGGTTGTTGTGGGTTTTTCGGGCTCTTTGGCCATGTTCTCAAGGTTGAACAACCTTCAGAACATGGCCAAAGAGCCCGAAAAACCCACAACAACCTTTACAGGTAGCACTTTGGCAGGAAGAGGACAATTGTACAGTATAGAGCTAGGACAGCTGGTTCTCAAAGCCTTCCAGCTTATTCATCATACACGTTTAGGTGTTTGTAAGGTTTCTGCAAGGATATCTCCCAGAATAGAGAATTATGAGATTTATAATCCAAAACCCCCACTTCCCTTTATTTTTATTTTTTAAAAAAGCTTAAACCAGGGGCTGGCGAATTAAAGGCCACATCTGACCTGCAGAAGCTTTTCATATGGCTCTCCAACTAGCATTTCCTTGCCAACCAGCTGATGGCAATCCCAAACTTTTCTGACTTCACTCATTTATGGCAACAATGTGAGACACCAGCAGGAGAGACAATTGTGACTCCTGCTTGAAGCAGGGTTTCAAAAATGTTGAAAGAAGTGCTTGCAACCCAACTGTTGCCTAGGACCATGCCAAAACGAACACTGTTTACTCCAAGAGGGAGCTTGGGTATTTTGCAGTGAGTAAATCCTCTTGTAAGAATGTACTACCTGGTGAGGATAAAATACTCTATCCTCTATCTATCTCTGGAGACTAAGCCATGAGAAAATATAGAAAATACTACAACTATAAATGATGGAATTTCCCACAATCAGAGGCACTTGAAAGCCCACCAAAACTTTTTGTATTAACATGTGGCCCTAGGCCAACATTTCTTCTCTCCTTCAGCTTCACTTCTAAACATCACGAGTGGAAAACATTCAAGACAGTCACCAATCATCCCAGGAGTGGACATCCAAGCAAATTAATCACAAAGTCACATTGTTGAATGCAACTGCAAAAAAACCCCTAAGAGTTACATCTCAGACTCTACAAGCCTTAACATGGTAAATGTTAAAGTTCATGATGGTAGAATCAGAAAAAGACTGTACAAGTATGATTTGTTTGGGAGGGTTGCCAGGAGAATTTCTCTTCTGTGTGAAAAGAACATGGCTTAGGTTTGGAAAGTTGCATCTGGACAAAACCACAAGACTTCTGTGGAACAACATCCTTTGGACAGACAAGACCAAAGTGGAGACGTTTGGCCTTAATGCACAACACCATGTTTGGAGAAAACCAAACACAGCCTATCAGCACAAATACATTGTACCAACTGTCAAGCATGGTAGTGGAGGAGTGATTATTTGGGCTTGTTTTGAAGCCACATGAGTTAGGCACCGTGCAGTCATTGAATCGACCATGAACTCCTCTGTATACCAATGTTTTCTAAAGTTAAATGTGAGGCCATCTGTCTGACAGCTAAAGCTTGGCTAAAATTGGGTCATGCAACAGGATAATGATCCCAAGTACACCAGCAATTCTACAACAGAATGGCTGAAAAAGAAAAGAATCAAGCTGTTGCAATGGCCCAGTCAAAGTCCAGACCTCAACCCAACTAAAATGCTCTTTAACAAAGCTGAACATAAGCAAATGCTTGCAGACCTCAATGAACTGAAGCAATGTTGTAAAGAAGAGTGGGCCAAAATTCTTCCAGAACAATGTGAGACACTGATGAAGTCATAGAGAAAATCATTGTTTCATGTTATTCCTGCTAAATATGGTTCTACAAGCTACTGATCATAAGGTGTACTTAAGTTTTTTGCACATGGCTTCTCCTTTTTGGCTTTATTTTTGTTAAATAAATCATGACAAAGTGTCATGTGGTGGTGTTCATCTATGGTTATATTTATCTAATCTTCAGACCTGCTAAGGACCAGATGATTTTCATTATGTCCTGATATGTAAAACCACAGAAGTCAAAGAGGGTGTACTTTCTTTTTTACATGACTGTATATGCAAATAAATATAACACACTATGAGTTCAACACAAGGAATTGTGAACAGAAGGAAAAAAGTCCCCGGCACTATTCCACACACATTTGTACAAGGGTTTATTCAACCGTTTATCCAGTGATAGGGCAGAATAGGTGCTCTAGTATGCCCGTGCAACAGGCAGAGCAATTTACTTTCTTCTTTTGTGCAACATTCCAGTTTTGGTAATTAACATATCCTTTCTATATGCCCCAGATTATGTCAGAACCAGTCCAGGCACACAAGCAACCCTCTAAAGAAAAATAATGCCCCAAGTCACTTCAGCTGTACCAAAAAAGAAAAGGTAATTCTCAAACTGAGAATATTCTACTGTGCCTGGTTCATTTGATTACTTAGTAAAAAACAGAAACAATAATGAATCTAGACATTTAGACACCTCTCATATTGTGCCAATTCAACAGATGTATTATAGTGTCAGAGGCACTGTACTTTTTCAATATGCTTGTGAAATCTGTTCCATAGTTGTTGGTCTCTTTTAATAAACTGAACCAACAAGAAATGTCAGTGTTGGCAATGGTAACAAAAACAAACCTTCATTACACTGCAAAGAAGAGAAAATAGCTATTTTAAATACAGCAAACATTAGCAGGGCATAGTAACTCAACGGGAGTGTGTGTATGTGGGCTCTTTCTTGGCTCTGATCAAAGTCTTGCCACTAGGAGATTTACATTTTAATACATCCCACCCACAAGGTGATTTTAAAAACTGTCTCACTAGATTAGGGAAGAATATGAAAATGTACCACTGCAGATCTCATACCAAAACACTCATCTCTTAAACAATCTCTGCAAACTACCTACAAATCCTGGTTTCACATCCTTGCAAAATGTTAGAATGTGAAACTTCAGGCTGATCTCATTATTTTCTCGTCTTTATAGACTCCTGGAAAAATGATTCTTAATCATCTATTAATAGCAGTGGAACCACTTTTCAACCCACAACAGGCTGGCTTTAAACCAGGGAAAACCCGCACAACACAAATCCTTTATTTAATGCAACATTTTGGGGGGATAAGCTCTGAAAACAGGCAAGATCAAGGGGGTTTGTTGACCTCTTGGCTGTCTATGACACATTTCATCATCAAGTACAACTACAAAAATTTTATAATCTAACCAAGGATTATAAAATAAGTGAAGTAATAGCTATCTGTGAACAGACGGAGATTCCAAAATGATACTTTGATATGATTTTGATTTCTTGTATAACGAATCCCCCACCCTCCTGCGCTTCTGAAAGCAAGTGAGAACCAGAATTTTTACCCAGGCTTTTACAAACCTCACCCCTCCGTAATATTAATTTTGTAGTGAGTTTATTTATGCCAGACCATGGTTCACCAAAGGAGTTTTTGTTTTTATATGTTCATTTTTTTAAAATTGTGGTATATTTTTATTTACTAGAAGCCACCAGAGTAGTGGCTTGTCCACTAAATGGGCAGGGTACACGTTTAAACACATAATAAAAAGAAAATAAATAAATGATAGTGTCTTAGGTTTACTTCCGTTCACATGGGAAAACACAAGGTCAGAAAAGGAAATCAAAGGATCAAAGAGACTTCAGGCTTGCAACCTGGGAAGTAAGACCTCTGTGACATGTTAATTAGGGCATGCCCAAAATTGGGGAGGCTGTTATAACCTGGACTGAAAGCAACTGACACCTGAATGATTCAAAGAATTCACCCAACTCTGTATCCTAAACCCACCTCTCTTGAATTCACACCTTGGAGTCTTTGAAGTAAAGACTTCAGGAGAACTTCAAGATGGGTCTGTTAAGAGACAGGAAGAGAACACAACATGGATGGGGAACAACAATGATGCAGAACAATATCCATGAGGGAGAAGGACATGAATTAGTCCTTAGCCAGGAAAGGGCAACTAACCATGCTATCCAAAGAAGATGTTAGAAAGGGGAATTTAGAGTGGATTTCACTTCTCATGGCAGAACAGCTTCTTTGGCTTGCTAGTCTACTGTCATTTTGGTAAAGTTTGTCAGGAATCAGAAGGAAACTGGGACTTGTAGTCATACAAAGATGAAGTCTGTTAGGTTCCATGCAGTTTGGATTTAAACCACTGAAATGTTCTCATGGGATTGTTGTTCCAAGTTTGCTCTGCCTGTTACCAAGATAAGGAGCAAGGTTCGAGAAGACCAAACACCACATTCTTCTTAATTGGGATGAGATAAGACACCTGCAAGATCTCATGTGAAATAGGGGCGGTGAACTGTGTTATGCCCTCATGATTCTAATTGGTTAACAACTTGGAAGTGTCAGAAAGAAGGTGGTCCATAGAAAAATGGTTGTTTCATGTATGTGATATGTGAGTGATGTTTGGTGTTGTGGAATGTGAGAAGAGAAGTTTGTCTTTTTGAAAGAGAGGGGGGAGAGATTTGCCCAATTTCTCTAGAATGCTAAGATGTAGAAGTTGCCAAAATGATTACTTAGTTTAGCTTTTATTATTTTAATCTGAGAATAATAAGCTTATTTGAATCATGGCAACTGCTTGAATATGATTATGCTTTATGCTTTTAAGCTACAACTGTATTTTAATGGAACTACTTAATTTTCTTAATAAAACAATTATTCTTCAACAAAGAGCTTGTCTCTTGAACAGCAAGACTGCACCTAAATCCAGTGGAGATTGGAAATGTCACTAATTGCTACTATACAGAGAGGTCCTACCTAGCCAGTCTGTTGTGCTGTCTAATGAAGCACTCAGTAAATAGTTGATTGCCTTGTAGGTAGGCAAGAGGCTCTATTTCAGGTTGAGCTTGTCCATAGGGCAAGGACTACGCACTTATGAAGCTAAAGGACCTGTCTCATGTAAGAAAAGTGGTGGTTGCTTGCGAGAAGTGATTCTGACAAAGTTCATTGCCTGTGAACACTTTCCCAAGATTTGTTTACCTGTTTGCATGATTTTACATTTTTCCAGAAGTTTGTTATTTGATTTTGTAACTGTTTCCCATAACCTTGGACCACTCAACCCCTGCCACTACAAGATACAGTGGTGCCTTGACTTACGAACTTAATCCGCCCCAGAAGATCTTCGTAAGTCAAAATTTTCGTAAGTAAAACCAGCATTTCCCATAGGAATGCATTGAAACCGGATTAATCTGTTCTGGCTGTTTTTTTGTTCTTATGTCAAGGCACGGTTTGTAAGTCAAAGCAAAACTGCTTAATCCGTTCTCTACCACTAGAGGGAGAATTTTTCGTCTTTTAACCTAAGAGGAACTTAGGTTAAAAAAAGGGCAGGAAAGGAGGGAGGGAGGGAACAAGGAAAGAAAGGTCATCACTGGGGCACACTGACCCCTCAGACAGAGGTTTGTGCTTTTAAGCACAAAAAGAGAAAAGACAGAGAGAGAGAAGACAATTGCGGTGGGGGGGAGATAGAGTTTGGAGTCTGAAGCACATTTTAAACCCACACACTTTAAACCCACACATTTTACAACAACACATTTTAAACCAAGCAACCAAAAGACTAAAATGCATTTTAGAGCCCAACAGCCAGCCAGACCTTTGTAAAAAAATTTCTGATTTTAAAACCAAAAGTCTAAACTCCATTTTAGAGGCCAACAGCCAGACAGATCTTTGCAAACAATTTTCTGATTTTAAAACCAACAGCCTACACAAAAACATACCCCCCCCAGCCCAACCCCAAGCTGCAAAACCCCTGCACAGTAAATACAGTGTACTCACCCAGAACAGCAGTCTGTTTTAAAAAAGAAAGCCAAAAAGCCAAAAAAGCCCCAAAAAACACAAACAAACAGTCCATACAATACAGTACTAGGCAGTACCAGGCAGTATGCAGTCTGAAGTCTCTCTACGTATCCACACACTCTAACCGCTGGGGCGAGTTAGGTAGCAGACAAGCAGCCTCTTTGCTGGCCAGCAGTTAATTGAATGTTCAAATTTGTTTTGTTGTTCATAAGTCAAAGATCCGTTCGCAAATCAAAGCAAAATTTTGCGACCGGAGCTCTTCGCAACTCAAAACATTCGTAGGTTGGGACATTCGTAAGTCAAGGCACCACTGTATAATCTCCATTTTGTATAATTTCCATTTTGTATAATTTCCATTTTGTTTTTACTTTACTTTATTTCTTTTAATAAAACTTTTGAAAGACCTTCTGGTTTGATTTTTAAGAGAAATTCGGGTTAACAAAATCCCATAGCCTTGCCAAAGTTCAACCATAGCTACCTGGCATGCCTCTGAGGCATATTAAGCATTCTTTTGCATTTTGATTATCCAGGGGGATGGTGGCAGTTTCTACCAGAAAAAGTGGCAGCCCTTACCCAAAAGCTTCACTGGCTTTAAGTTCAAGATCTAGAATGCTGTTCAAAGGTTCCCCTGCCTTGGAGGAATAAGCGTTGGTTCCTGGAGGTGATGCAACCCTTTTGCAAAATCAAAGCTCTCGCAAAATATGCCTGTGTATTCTGTGCCTCTGAACTTGAAGAAAAACCCTTCCTATTCAAAGCCTTTCCCTTACATAATTAAAGGGACTGGCATAATGTAACAATAATTTGACATGTTCAACCCTCACTAAAATGTCCCTTTTCATTGACCAAATTTACACCTTGTAATAGTTTTGGGTTATTGCAAAATTAACCTAATATAATCTAATTCAAAGCTGTGATTCCTTCCAGGATTTTCAAAGCAGAGTACTCAGAAGTGATTTACCACTCTCTTTTTAGGAGACTGTGCAGCTTGCTTGAGACTACACACACTGGCTCTTCTCCTGAGACACAAAGTAGGGAATAGATCGTGTTTTTCCCCAGTATCCCATCCACCACTAGGCTGCCATCAAACACTCTTTTGGGTAAGCCTGTGATTTTACCTTCCAACATTGATGTTTAGCGTAATATTCCCCTTGTGCAACCCATTCTTCTGGTGTTGATGTTTTAACAAACATGGTGTCATCCAAATCTAGGGGGAAAGAACAAGAATTGAGACTGAAAAAAAAACCTATTTCATTAGTTGAACACATGAGAAAAAAACTGGGTTGGTTTGTATTGTATTATACAGACATACAAAATTATGCTATCTAAAATTCTTACAAACACATTCTAAATCAATTCAATCAATTACAGTCAGGCTGTAATAAGGTCTCCCAAATCAGTTTAAGTTTCGTAATCCAGCAGTCTGGGCCTTATACAAGAACAATCTTGGATGACGGTTTCAAGCTTGTTTCTTTGTAACTTTTTTTTTCATTTTTAATAGGGCTGTAATGAGGATATGGATAGCATGTTCTGGAAAAGATACATTTTCTGAATGCATTCAGAAGGGTGTCATGCTATAAAAAAACAACAGCAAGGATTTTGTCAAGCTTTCTATGTAAATAAGGTAAAGGTTCCCCTTGACATTTTAGTCAGTCGTGTTCGACTCTAGGGGGTGGTGCTCATCCCCGTTTCCAAGCCGTAGAGCCAGCGTTTGTCCGAAGACAGTTTCCGTTGTCACGTGGCCAGCTCGGCTATACACGGAACGCTGTTTACCTTCCCACCGAGATGGTACCTATTTATCTACTCGCATTTACATGCTTTAGAATTGCTAGGTTGGCGAGGAGCTGGGACAAAGCGACGGGAGCTCACTCCGTCACGTGAATTCGATCTTACGACTGTTGGTCTTCTGACCCTGCAGCACACAAAGGCTTCTGTGGTTTAGCCTGCAGTGCCACCACATCCCTTATTTCTATGTAAATACGGAATGCCAAATGCTAACTGATTGCAAAATGAAATCTGAGGGGGGGCATAGGTCTGCTCATGTCTAAGTTATAAATATCTATGATTTAGACATTGCATTACAAAGCAGTAATTAATTCTCATTTTCTGTTATGCCAGGTAATGATACAAAATGGCTTCCAGAGAATCACAGTAACAACAAATGTTGAACTGAATTCTTCCTGTTTCCATTGGCTTTCATCTTTGTAAGAATTAACTTTGATCTTGGTCAAACCACACACTGAACTGGATGAGCATGGAAGCAGCTCCAACAACCCACCAATGTTTAGAATACCTCTGAACACTGTTGTGATAATATGTTTTCTAAAGTACTCTGATGAATGACAGAAAAACTTAGACGAGGGGTCCACCACTGGCCAGAAGCAAGAACAGCAGGGTGAAGAATGGCAAATGTTGTATCAGGGTGGGTTTGATTTAAATCAAACTGATTCAATTTAAATAATAAAAATCAGATCTTTTTGATTTAAATTTTTAAAACTCATTTTTTAATTTGAATCATGATTTTAATCAATTTGATTTTATTAAAAAATATTATCCACCCTTCTGTCTATACAACATTTGCCAGCAAACCCACTGAACTGAAGATGGAGGAATAAGACCTTGACTTCCCAACTTCCATCCTTCTGACCTCTAGCAAAGTTAACAGCTGACTAGGGATAAAAATGCTCCAGTTATCTCTGCACATTTAAACCAATGCTTTCCCAATAAGTTCAAATCTCAGTAACAATGCATACAGTCTAGGCTTATTTCATGGCTTCCCTGCAGGTATACAAAGATAACAACAAATTAAAGGTGTATTAGACACAGATTCTTTTAACTTCATTATACAGTAATCAGTCCTAATCCATTAAGGCCAACATAATTTCTTTAAATATAGAAACGAAATATCTTTAGTGTTTCACTCTTAACTATAAATTGCCCAAACTCGATCTTTGCTTCAGGTCTTTGTATATGTCACATTGTACTCAAAAATTATACAAGAGGTGATTGTCACAGACAGTTTTATAGAAGAATCCTAGACCAACCTTACCTTCATTTTCATCTGTTTTGACAACCTTAACAAGTTCTCTCTTAATGAAATACTGGAACGCAGGGGCACGTCTGTCACTGTTTTCATCAAAGATCCACAGATTGACCCTGGCTCTTGTAATAGCAGTATATAATTGTTTCAGCTCTCCATTGAGCATCTAGGAATAGCACAGTTAAAGGATGTGCAATATGTGCAAGACGACACCAAAAAAAAAAGCAATGTGACAAATCAAGGCATGTGAAATTATGTTTCACAGGAAGAGGAGCTTGATTTCTCTTTCTCACCATCTTTGACTTTCGCCAAGACACAGAAGTTAACTTACAAAAATGAAGGCCAACATTTTATATTAGCTAATTGTATAAAAAGGCAACAGGCTTAATCCACCCATTATGAATTGGTTGTTGTAGGTTTTTCAGGCTGTGGCTGTCTTCCAGAGGTTTTTCTTCCTAACAGTCCGCCAGTCTCTGTGGCTGGCATCTTCAGAGGACAGGAGTTAGAACTCTGTGTTCTGGTGAAGATAAACCTCCAGAACACGGCCAAAAAACCTACAACAACCATTGGATTCTTTTTTTTTTTTGTATTTTTTATTTTTTATAAGGGATAACAAAAAGGAAAAGGGAATTGGGATTGATGAGGAAGAGTTTTATCCAACCATTGGATTCTGTCATGATCATGGGATATGTGGTTAGAAGCATGTCATGAAGATGGGTTATGTAGTCAGAGAAATATAAAAATGGAATCAGAATGGTTCTGTGCAGAATTGAAGGACTATTGAATGTGTTTTTCTTAAGTACCATGAGAATGTTTTCCTGAGACTGTTACAGCCAAGCATCGAGATATCTTGAAGGCCAAGTGAAGAGGGGCCCTACAGACGCAACATTCCAACCCTGTTACAGAAGACAACACCTGCACTCTCTCATGGGACTAAGGAGTGGGGAAAGGTGGTACAACCTCTAAACAGTAATTGGTTAACAGCCAGAGGGGCCTGGAAGAAGGGAGGAGTTTGGGGAAAGTAGAAAATGGAGAATATGTCATGTGAAATGGTTCTGTTAAGCAATAATTCTCTTACTGATGATGGATTAAGACTGATGATAGATTCTCTGCTGATGATGGTGAGCATGTAGCTTGAAAGAGAAAGAAAAACAGGGGGTGGACATAACCCCACCCATAGCCTCTGTAGTTTAGCTTTTTGAATTTTAGCTGGGAAATAGTTATTTTATTTAACTGCAACAATCTTTTAATATGTTCTTAAATGCTATGTTTATGCAGTATAAACTGATTTTCTGTGAAACTTTATTTCGATCTTTTAATATGTTCTTAAATGCTATGCTTATGCAATATAAACTGATTTTCTGTGAAACTTTATTTTTCTAATAAAAATTTTAATCTTAAAAATCCTTATCGAGGACTGGTCTTTTGAACAGCAAGGTCTGCCTAAATCCAGGAAGTGGAAAGGGCCACAGGTTTGCTACATTTCAGAGTCCTACCTCACTGAGCTGTTGTGAGTTCTAAGGAATCACAAAGCCCATGTGCTTGTAAATGCTAAGTAAGCACAAAGTGTTCTTTTTAGGTCAGACTTGTTCAAAGGGGCTTATGCCACACACTGCTGATGGTCTAAGGACTCGGCCCAGCATATAAGTGATAGATAAGAGCCTGGAGACTCGATACTTTAAAGGACCGTGAGCATGACAGATCCCGGCTGTGAAAGCCTTCAAAAACCCATCATGAATTTTCTGCTTTTTTATCTAATTGCCCTGAAAGCTAAGGAATTCAGAACAACATTTGTTATGTACATTCAGTTGAGCACTTAGGGTCAAAGACTAACCTGACCCCACATTATGTTCTCTGTCATCAAGTAAGAATTGACTTATAGTGACTCTAATAGGGCTTTCAAGATTCGTGATATATTTTAAGGAGTGGTTTTACCAGTTCCACGTCCCCCAGTGAGCTTCCATGGCTGAGCATGGATCTGAAACCAGGCCTCCTAAGTCCTAGTCCATCACTCTGTCCATCACACCACACTGGGTATCCACAGCCAGTGTCAAATGTCATATTTTAACTCCTTGGTCACTGAGATAGTACAAAGATTTTTTTATTTGGATATTGGCAGTTTTCCATGTAAGGTTCAGACAGCTGCTCGTTCTCATACCTATTTTTAATAGGATGAAGAAAAACTAATACACATATTTTAATACAATAACTCAAATCAATTCCCTAGGCTATTACAGTCTACCTATTTAGACATCTCTAGGTGTGTTCTCCACATAACATCCTCCCCATGGTCATTATCCTCAATTCATAACTCAATTTCACCACGCGTTCTCTAGCCTCACCCAAATTCTTACTCAGCTCCATCCCTCAAGCAAAAATCTTCTCAAGAGCAGACTTGGAACTCCACACTAAAGTTTTACCTGCACAAAACAATGGCATCAATAGGAACAATAATCAAGTAAGACAGCATGGCAATTACCTTGTACATTTCTAGGTTCAGAAGAGATTTTCTTTCAGCTTCAACATCTTTCTCCAAAGATGTTTCAAGAATCAGTTCAGTTTCTTCAACCAAGGAACAGGAAAGTGGGAAAGATGATATTATTTTCCATTCTTTGTATGCCTAAAAAATGTAAGGAAAAAAATTTAGTTAAGCTATAAAATGATGGTAACCATGTCAAATATTCATTGCCATAACCATTTCTAAAGCACTAGCATCTGGCTCAGCTAACATTAGAAATCACAATGAATAATGGAAAGAGCCAGTGTGGTGTAGTGGAGAGGGTGCTAGACTAGAACTAAGATGATCTAGGTTCAAATTTCTGCACAGCTATGGAAACTCATATGTGTGGCAAGGGTAAAACCACCCCTTAAATATCTCACATAAATGGAAAACCCTGTTAGAGTAACAATGTAGGTCAGATGTTACTTGACAACACATAACATTACAGTGGAAAGTAATTCAATCAGTAACTAAATTAAAAATTATAATTTTTTCATTTACTATTTATTCTGAAAATATTTCATTGAACCGGATCCACTGCTCCCAAATCTTATTTTAGCTACAGAAAAAAAAGATTAGGAAACTGATGGGGAAAGACAGTAGCACTCCTCTCCATATTTCCTCCTGGCAGGTTTTTCAGACCCACCTGCAATTATATTTGAAGGAGCCAGAGGGCTGCTTAGGTTTCTTGTAAACACACTGGCAGTGGCTACAATTATCTGAGCTCAGTGCTGAGAAGTACCATCTGTATCAATCTAAAGGTCATTAAGAAAATCCTCAACACCAACAGAAATGGAGAAATGGCCTGAAACTGTATCCAGGCAAAATAGGTAACAGAAGATTATAGAACAGAACTTGTATATTTATTATACGAATACATGTTAAAAATTACTACCGAGATATTCATGTTTTTATTTAACTTTATGTAGAATAGGTGTATATTTTCTTACTTGTGCATATAACAAAGGGGCATCTAGTACAACATATAATTTCAAAATAAATCCACTTGTCCTGTCTGAACCAAACCACAAGCATGCCAAACACAGCCTCTTCTGTGGACAGGTATGCATGAAACAAACAACTGCAAAAGTGAGCAGAGCAAAGCACTGTAGAGCAAAGCACTCTCTGTCCTCTCTGAATTTAATCATGTATACATTAACAAATAGAACACCAAGTGTTCTCAAAGCATGAATGGGATCACAGCTCCCTACCAACCTGTTTAAAAAAAAACCTTCACTTGGATTCATTCTAAAAATATACATGTGTTCATGGGGCCACCCCTCCACCTTTAACCCAAAAGTTTTATCACAGTTGATTGTATTAAAAGAGCAGTTTCTGTCTGATTTTTTTTGCACCATGAACACTTCTACTATACAGGACCTCTCTACACTGCTTGGCTTTACTCACTAGCTTCCGGATTTTGGAACTATTCATTTCATACACAATTTACGGTATTATAGTTCACTGAAGGCTACCATTTTTGGCACACTTGCTTTTTGGTTTGGATGCAATAAACATGGGCAGTAAGTGGCTCTATGCTGAAACTGCCCACTGAACTAGGAGGTGGCATAATGTAGTACGAGGAATAAAAGAAGAATATATGCCCCTGCTGCCCACCTACTGTACTGAGTTTTTCAGTTGTGCCCAACCATCTCTAGATGACTCCTCAGCTTTTCCCATACCTCTGAATCTGTGAAAAAGTTGTAAAGGAGCACATCATCAAATTCCAAGCCTTTTGCTTCATAAATTGTGAGCACAAGAGCTAAACTAAGTTCCTCGGGAATCTTCTCCTTTGCTGTTTCGTTTGCTACTATAATCACCTATAAGAAAATGGAGAACATTGGATCTCTATTGCAAAGGATATTATCCCATGAAAGCAGAGACAAGGAGTACCGATAATAAATTAATTAAGCAAAGAATAAAGGATCAAAACAACAAGATGGTGATGCAGCATTAAAACAAATGGTAGAGCATTATACTGTATGTGGATAAGAAGTATGAAATTGAATCTGGGACCTAAAAATAAGGATGATCACTTAAGTCTTTTGAAAGAAGGCAGAGAGAAAAGAGTCACCCCATAATCAGGGAGTTCCATTTCTTTCAGATGCACAGATTACAGCCACTGTCTAGGAATTTTTTTCACTGCCTCCAATTAAAATGAAGACTCTTGAGTCCCAGTCCTTTAGGAGCTAGACTACATGACATTAATTCATGCCTTTACATCAATCTTTAAAGGAAACAATTATCAGTCAAGAAGATATACCCATAAATAAACGAAATGAATATACAAGAAAAATAATGGCTCAGTGCAATTCTGAGTCACTTTAGAAGAGACATGGTTGTAATGAAGTCTTAGAAAAGGCATAAAGACTGGTACTGTGCCTTTTGTGAAAACAGCAATTAACACGGAAGGGGTATTCATGGGCACAGTGAATTCACATTTGTGTCACATTTCATCTTCACAGCATCACATGCCAAGGAAAGTTCACCTGATGTGCTCCAAATTCTATCGGTTGAGTTCTTCTTTTGTTGCCTCTCAGCAGGATTGCTAGATCGCTAACACTGCAGGATTCCAAGACTGTTGGTTTAGGACCTTCAAACAGGCCTCTATCCCTAGGAAGCCGATCAAACGATTCTGGGAAGTAGTACTGAAGCAAATCAACAACTCCTGAGGCCATGTAGAGAATCCCTGCAAACAAAGGAACAACTGACCTGTTAAATATCTCCCTTCTTATATCTGGGAAATAAAACACAGAAGACTAACTGTAAAGATGTTAACCTGGAACATGGCATAGGTTCACCATCGCTGGCCTAAGGCACTCGTGAGCACCATGTGACCATCTAAATGGACTGTACCTCTCATAATTTCAACATTAGTTATGCTAAGGATGATGGGAGCTGCATCATATATGTGGGATGTCTTCTGTTCCCATTCCAGGCCTAAGAACACAACCCTCTATGGAACGCTAGTCAGTATAGTTTCAACTCCCATTTTAGAAAGTTTGTATGTGTTTTCAATGGTAACATCAGCAGACTTGCATGGATTTGACTCATTTGCCTATCAATTGTTCCTGCAACAACAAAGGACTCCCAATACCAGCTGAAGAAGGCCCAAACCCTCTTTTATAGTAGAGACAATGCTAAAAGGTATGTGGTATCAACTTGGACCAGAAGACAACTTCCAGCTTAGTTGTGGATTTACTGGATTACAGTACAGTACTTTAGAAATACTGTTACTCAGCCTCACTGCACATTCAAGAAAATCCTAAATCCATCTCACAGCTGTTGCAAAGATGTATAAGCTGAAAACTGGCTTCTACTCCCAGTGCACAGAGGCAAAACTGTAGAATTTCAGGAAAACAGAAAGACTGCTTTTAGGTCTAGCGCTAGACAGGATATTCACTCTCAGTAAAATATAGTGTCATCCAAAGATATGTTCAAGTCTAAGATCTACAGCAATAAATCTGGGTTGTTCAATCAAGCCTGTTGTTCCTGTCTCAATATCACTGCCAAGGTCCAATATTCCCAACCATTTTTTAAAAAATAGATGAACAGATTTGATACCTGAATGAGATCGATAGTTCTGATAAAGCTGGTATATCCTTCTTGGTTTTCGAACAACACATTGTTTCTTCTCATTATTGCTTTTACTGGCATAGTGGAAAAGTGACCTCAAGTCACTGAAACGAAAAGCGACTCCTTCCATGATGCTCTGTGCTGTGTCACCAGTCAGGAACATTGCATTAGGGTCATCAATACATTTCATCAACAATGCTAGCTCTGCCTGAGTAAAATCCTGAATTTCATCACCATAAAGTTCATGGATACACCATGGTAGAACACTGAGTTTAGAGAGTCGCTGAAACAACTTATGCAGGACATCTTCCTCATCAAAATAATTTCCTTGAGATTTTATTTGCTGATAAAGACAAAAGAGTTGATAAATTTCATTACGGTCTTCTTTAAAGTTTGGGGACCTCTTTTGGCCAAGTTTTTTGTAGTCTTCTTTTGAAAGTATGCCTTGGTGACTGTTCATTGCCTCAAATGACCCCTTCAAAAAGGATTTTATTTCTTTCCAGACCAGTGCTGGGTTGTACTTCTTTCCAGACCAGTGCCTGCCTTTTACCATTTCAGGCCAGATCTTCTTAGCAAATACACCGTAAGTAACAAAGACACGAAGATCACTCTCTCTTGTTTGAACTTCTGCAGTTTTCTCATCTTCATCATACTCTACCTCAATGTCTTCATCCTCCTCTTGCCAATTTGAGATAATTGCTTCATCTTTAGTAGACCATCCAGCAATGGTATGTTTGAGACTTCCATCTTCATTCCTAAGGAAAAATGGGTCAGGCAGAGAGGCATCAAGTAAAAGCAGCAACTGTTTGGATGTGAGAAAGAGGGGGAAATTTTCATCTGTAACATCCTGAAGTCTGAAAACATTTGCTTCAAGGGGTCTGAAATGACTGGTTTCCTTAGAAGATTTACTAAGCTCAATGAAATTTCTTTGAACCTCTTGACAGAGAACATGATTTTTAGTAACAAAGATCTGATGCAAGTGTTCCAATTTGTCAGATACTTCTGCAGTGTGTTCCTCTGCCTCATCACAGTCACATACTGAATTCACATCTGAGTCCTCTACAGCTGAAGAACACGGGTCATCCTCATCTGTTTCCTGCTCATTATCAGTACTTACAGATGTATCCAATTCCACTGAATCAGTAGGGTCACAGCCATTTTGTTTTTCATCAGAATCCTCTTCCTTGCTGCCGTTCTCCTCCAACTGCATATTAAACTTTTGTCTGTGCCATACCTGTCTGACCAGTAGTGGGCCGTCTGCCAACTGTGCCCTCACCCAATAAGAATGAAATTTTTTCCAAAGCTTGTACAAGCAACACGTGGTCTTTCCTGTTCCACTCCGTCCAATTAAGATTATGGGCTCAAGGGGCTTAGGATTCAAGTCAATGACGGCATATTCCAATTCACCAACTCTGAAAGGGTACTCCACAGCAGCTGTCATATCATTTATGATGTTAAGTGCCATGTTAGTACTGAAACTGTGAAATTTCATGATGTTGTATTCAGTTTCCACTGCACTAGCTGGGGGAAAGTACTCAGGCACAACAGAAACTTTTGATTTGTCTGCTTTGGTGTCTTCAATATAAATGCGAGGAAAGCGCTTTTGTATTTTTATATTTGAAGAAATCAATGCTGTATCTACACCTTTGAGTTTTTTCCTCAAAATACAAGAACGCCCACGATTGTATGCAGTGCATATAGCTTCAATGGCACGGTTGAGTTTGTTATGATCTGGGACAATATCCCATATCCGAATAATTTCTGTGTAAACTCTCCCTGTTTTTATTGCTGGATGAGTAGAATGCTCATTCTCTATTATGGTTTCTGCACTATCACTGCAACGAGGAGAAAAGTCTATTGCAACCTCCCACAACATTCTTGCCCCTTTGGTCAACTTTGCTTCATACAGCTGAATGTCACTTTTCAAGTGTTCTAGTCGCTTTTGTAGACTCTGGGTCCATTCTCCATTTCCCAGCTGTTGAATTACAAAGATTACTTTATTCTTCATATAAGAAGGCATCTGCTTGCTTCCCAGCTTCTTTAGCATTTCAGAAGTGCACTCTATTTCCCATGTCATTTTATCAAAGTCCTCAATTTGTGTCTTAATATCCTGAAACTCCTCATCATCTTCAGGACAGGCTTCTTCTTCCTCCTGTTCTCGTTTCACCTTGTCAGGTTCATCATGGGGGCCCTCCATTGAATCATCTTTTGTCAGGCAAGCATTTTGTCCACCATTATAAACCAGATTCTCCTGGCCACAGATCTGTTCATCCCCATCCCTTTCACCTTTAGCAACAGAAGAGCATGGATTGACTACTTCGGGTGTTGCTGAATCCATTTTTGCTGAGACTTCACACAGTGCATGGATTAACTGCATGATTTCATGCACAAGACATTCCCTCAGAGTCAATGGCTTATTAATATTGGCAAGTGCTGAGTTCTTTACTGTAGCATCTTCTCTTACTTTCTGTTTATGCGAAGTGGCATCTGCTTTTAGCTCCTTGTCTTGTGACAGCTGTCCAGATTGCATTTTGGATACCTGTGCAGTTGAAGAATGGATCGAACTTTTGGCTTCTGACCTGCTGGAAGATGGAGGCATTTTAGCTTGCTGTCCCACTAAATCATGCCGACATTTCTTCCTGGCCTCAGCTACAGCTTCATTCCAAGCTACAAGCATTGGGTCATTCTTCTTCCTCTTGTGACGCACATCTCTGCCAGAACTATTTTTTAAGTTTAAGTTAATGTCAAACTTTGCCAACAAACCTAACATTTTCTTGACTTGCTTTGTTGGGTTTTTTTGAAAAATAATGTGCAGTACTGTGTTTCCATTCTTGTCTTGAGTATTGGGATTAAGATATGGAAATGTAGATGGATTTGAATCATACAACTCAAGAAGAAAATGCAGGAACTGGAAACCAATGCAATCTGGAGGAAAAAGAACACAAAACAAGGAATTTTGTCACATGGGAGTTCCTGCCCTACTGTACAATGCTCAAAGTGCCCCATGGCCACCTCAGTTCTTGTGGCCCTTTCCTCACCCTCACCTTCCCCCCCCCCCCGCGCTAGCTACAGAATTCCACCAAAACCTTCCTGTCTAATAATAGACAACAAAACATTCAATTACAAGTTGAGGAAGAGCCCATGTTCTTGAATAAAGTTCTGAACTTCCTCTTATGATCAGTAATATAAAGAAGATGTCCAGTCCTTTAAAAGTTTATTAAGAGTTTCCAGGGCGTCTCTTGTAATTCTTTTGGCCCACAGCTTCTTGTGATATCTAAAATGGTGCTCTCTACCTCACACAATGTTGGACAGAGGGAAGCAAAGAAGCTGCACTGCATATACAAAATATCCTTATATACTGTTTTCTACTCCTAACTACAATCAGTTCACAGACTGTCCTCTTCACTAGGACCTAAACTTCTTCCTAATAAACAAAATAGAGGGAACTTCTCAGCCCTGCTGGGTTGCAGAAAGTTTCAAGTTATATAATTTTTTTAAAAAAGGAGGGGGGCATCGTGTTGTAACTTGTACTGAACTATTCGAAGTACAGTAGGGTCACACTGAAATCTATATGTGGGACAGGAAGCAACAGTTAGAACTGAATATGGAACAACTGATTGGTTCAAAATAGGGAAAGGAGTACAACAAGGCTTTATATTGTCCCCCGGCTTATTTAACTTACATGCAGAATACATCCTGCAAAAGGCTGGACTGGGGGAATCACAAACCGGAATTAAAACTGCCGGATGAAATATCAACAACCTCAGATATGCAGATGATACCACTCTGGTGGCAGAAAGTGAGGAGGAATTAAAGTTCCTCTTAATGAGAGTGAAAGAGGAGAGTGCAAAAAAATGGTCTGAAGTTCAACATCAAAAAAACTAAGATCATGGCCACTGGTCCAGTCATCTCCTGGCAAACAGAAGGGGAAGATATGGAGACAGTGACAGATCTTACTTTCTTGGGCTTCATGATCACTGCAAATGGGGAGAGCAGCCACGAAATTAAAAGACGCCTGCTTCTTAGAGGAAAGCGATGACAAATCTAGACAGCATCTTAAAAAGCAGAGACATCACCTTGCTGACAAAGGACCACATAGTCAAAGCTATGGTTTTTCCAGTAGCCATGTATGGAAGTGAGAGCTGGACCATAAAGAAGGCTGACCGCAGAAAAATTGATGCTTTTGAATTGTGGTGCTGGAGGAGGCTCTTGAGAGTCTCCTGGACTGCAAGGAGAACAAACCTATCCATTGTGAAGGAAATCAACCCTGAGTGCTCCCTGGAAGGACAGATCCTGAAGCAGAGGCTCCAATACTTTGGCTATCTCAGGAGAAGACTCCCTGGAAAAGACCCTGATGTTGGGAAAGTGTGAAGGAAAGAGGAGAAGGGGATGACAGAGGACAAGATGGATGAACGATGTCATCAAAGCTACCAACATGAATTTGACCCAACTCCGGGAGGCAGTGGAAGACAGGAGGGCCTGGAGTGTTCTGGTCCATGGGGTCATGAAGACTTGGACATTACTTGACGATTAAACAACAACAACGTCCACATTAACCACAGGATCAGTATCCACCGATTCACTTAGCGATAGTCTGAAAATACTAAAAATATTCAAAGAAAAGTCCCTAATACAGTGGTGCCTCGACATACGACCATTTCAAATCGACCATTTTGCTTCGACTTGTGACTGGAGCTTCCAATTACGAACACAAAAAAGGCAGGAGGAAAAGGCGGGAAATTCAAATTGCTAACTATTGGTGGCAAAGAGGCTGCTTCTTTGTAGCTCTTTTGCCCCAGAAGTTAGAGAGTATGCAATCGGAGGATGCTTGGGACTGCCTGGCTTCTGCTTCCGAGTGAGAGTGTGTTTGTTTGCAGGGAGGCTTGGAACTGCCTGGTAAGGTGCTGCTTTTTGCTTTTTAAAAACTGCTTGTTCTGAGTGGGTTCTGCAGGGTGGGTTTGGGCTGTGGGGGTTTATGTTTCTGTGCTGTTGTTGTTGTTTTGGGTCCCAGCACTTTCCATGGGGCTGCTCTGTTGTTTATTTTTGTGTTTGTTTTTAAGCAACAGCGTCTTTGAGGCTTGCTCTGTTGCTTATTTGTTGTTGTTGTTTTTGCAGCACCAGCGCCTTCCGATGGGGGCTTGCTCCGTTGTTTTTGGGGTTTTTTTTTAAAGCCCCAGTGCCTTCGGGACTTGCTCTGTTGTTTAGTTTTAGTTTTTTGTTTTTGCAGCCCCAGTGCCTTCTGATGGGGCTTGCTCCGTTGTTTATTTTTCGCCTTGTTTTTTTTTTTTTTTAAGCCCCAGTGCCTTTGGGTCTTGTTTTTTTTAAAAAACGCCCCAGTGCCTTTGGGGCTTGGTCTGTTGTTTATTTTTAGTTGTTTTTTTGTGTATGTTTATTTGTTTTTTGGCAGCCCCAGGGCATTCCTATGAGGCTTAGAGTGTTTTATTTTTATTTTATTTTGGTGGGTATTTTTTTTCTTCTGGAACAGATTAATCGCGTTCCAATGCATTTCAATGGGAAATGGTGCTTCGACTTAAGACAATTTTGAGTTACATCCATCTTCTGGAACGGATTATGGTTGTAAGTCGAGGCCCCCATTGCATATATATTTTTAATTATGAAGTTACCAGAACCGGCCACAAGAGGGGGTTCAGAGACCATACAGCATTTGCTACTAGTGTTTCCATCAATATGAGGGTCCTACCGTAACTGAAGTAAAAAACCAAAATGTCCTTATACTCCATCAGATGAATGGACCTGTAACAGTACTGTAATTGACAGCAGCTTGTCAGGTAGAGCACTGCCTGTCTGCCATTCATAATTTTGAAAGACTGGAGATCAAACCTCATATAGATTTTAAAACCTGACACTCTTTACCCAAAACAAGAGAAACTCCATCTTCCATTTCTAAAGGATTATTCATTATGCTATTGACTTTGTAGTGACTAGGGAAGAGAGTAATTGGTGATGGGACAGTTGTGGCAGAATACCTGTGGTAATTCCATGCTATATGCTCAATGAAACTTGTAAATTATATATACCAACAAGATAAATCACTGAGACCAAATACTTACCATTTCTGTCAAAATAAATGGACAAGGCAGCATGTAAGGGAGTATCACCTTCCACGATAGATACAGAACGAGGATCAGCACCAGAGGTGAGCAACAAATATGCCAACTCAAAGTCATTGTTTTTTAAGCATTTCTGTAGTGGTTTTTCATGGACAACTCCAGTTCCCTCAGGTGATGCTTTGGAAAAAGATCATGAATATTATTAATAAAATCTGATGCTTTCAGAAAGATGCTAAATAATATAAATATAATCACTGGCAGCAACTACATCCAACAGTTATTCCAAGTGGCTAGAAAAGGCTTTTTTAAAAAAAAACACACAATTTTTTTAAATGTAGAAAGCCTGTTTGGATTACTTGACCCGGTTGCCTAGCAACTGCATGCAAATCTCCTTTTGGCTACCTGTTCTTTATCTTTAAGAGGACATGAAAAAGCAAATGTGGCTTTCATAGCACACTGCTGAGCTATGGAAAACATTTAGCCTTAAATCCATGGTGGGCAACATGCAGTCTTTAGATGCATGCCTCCACCAGATTTCCACAAAAACTGCTACCATCACCAAAATTCAGCGACAACACAGTACCCGGGGCGGGGGGGAGAAGGGAAACAAGGCACACACCTTTTATTACAGTAGATTCAGTAGTGTGGTGGTAGCAGGATAGGATAGATAACACACCCTGAACTGATTTGGGGCAAGTGTGTACAGGCACGTGCATAGATGCAGATTTACTTCAGCAGGAGCATTACGGCTGATTAGAACTCTGTGCTACTAGCGAATCTCTCTTCACTATCTTCTCATGGCCATCTAGGTAAGAGTTATGCCAGCAAATGCCCAGAGATGCCGTGTCAAGCTTGTTCCTAATAGCAGCACTTATGTAATAATATCAAAGCAGCTCATGGCACAAAATAATCAGTTTAGCTTGATTGTCATCTTTAAAAAAAGCTTGTTTTTATTTCTCCTTTTTTTCTGGCATCCTCTGGTCTTGTAGACTCCCAACTTACTATATAAAAAAGGAGCTGTTTTCGAAGTTATAGTGTAGAATGCACGAAAGGAAAAGTATAGCCATTTTAAAAAAACAGTGATGACATTTAGTTTAGTCAGGCATAGAATCAGAACGTTGCAATGAAATAATCTGGGAATGTTCACCTTTTCTTTCTATCAGGCATTTTATGAGTTGTATTCGTTGTTTATCCGATTGGTGCATGTTTTCCAAGACAGTGTTAATGTTGAAGTCTGAGAGATTGCAATTTTTAAGGACACCATCTTTGGATGCCACCTCCTCCGTAGCCTTCCAGGTGAGCAGTAACAGTGCTTCATGCCACTTTTGCTTCTTGAGCAAAAGCTTTATAAATCTGCTAGCAAGGGCAGGAGGAATTTCACAGATTATTTCTCCAGGAATTTCTACATGAAATAAAATTAAGGAGGGCATTAGGTGCTGCAAAGGTAACCTAAAAAGATCCATGCTGGACTGTCTGCATTACTTATTTAAATTATTATTTAATTCTATCCTTACTAAAGAAACAGTAAAGCTTAACGTATATAACTGCAATCGTATATAACTGCAATCAAAACTGCGGTCCCCAAGGTTTTGAATTCCACGGACCGCTTGGGGAAGACAGGGGACCCTCCCCCCACACTCACGTGCATGCACAAAGTAACTGACGTGCACTAGTGTGGGCACTCATGCACAGGCGCAAAGGGTGGGGGTGCTTGGGGGACACTCGCACACACTCGCAAAGGGGTGAGGGGCACTTGCGTGCACGTACTCACATGCATGCGCAAATGGGCTGTGCGGGAGTGCATGCAGGGTGGGTAGGAGATCTGTCTCCATGGCCCGGTCCAGCCTAGGCCATGGACCGACACCGGGCCACGGACCTTGGGTTGGGAACCCCAGTATAGATTCAGATTTATAGATACTCAGTGGGGACATGACTAACTGATGTGCAGTCAAACGTATCTTTTCTAAGCATGATGAAATCTGGAACCAAACCAATAATTCCTCATTTCCTTCCTTCCCCCTAAAAGCATTCAAATAATCAGTTTTACATCCAATATATTATTTAAGAAACATAGCCATTTTGACAATTTTAGCAACATAAATGCATACTTTTCAAATTAGCATGCAAAGTTGTATTCTTTGTGCATATTTATTAGCACATTTACTAAGAAAAATGCATGTTCATTCAGAAGTAAAATTCACCTTTTTTACCCAAGCAAAATGTGAATATTCCTGATATGTGATGGAAATAAATGTAAGGTACTGTACTCTATGCTACCCATAGCTTGGAAAGTTAGTTAAGAAGGTATTTGTTACCTAATTCTTTTAAAAGGCCAACAAGTGATTCATGATAATCACAGCTGATTTATTTTCAAAAATTATTACTTCTTTTTAGCACTAAGAAAAAACACTGTCCACTCACTACTTTACTGATTTTGACTTGATAGGCCTAATAAAATCATCCACTTAAAAAAGGAAACATTTTGTTGATAAAAGCTTCTACAAATGTATATTAAAACATTTTGAAAGACTCAGAAAACATTATTTCTTGTACACAAACCCCAAACATGTTTCCAGATATCTTTCCACTCACTATGTTAATTCTGACATGCACTTTTGTTACATTCTTTGCACAAAAATACTAAAAGATTTAAAATAAATTACATTGTGTCTAACACATTACTGTCAACCTCTGGCTATGCAGGGTGTTTTTAGCCATTTAGCTAAATGCATGGGAGCCCACATAAGTGGAGAAGCTGCCTCTCCCCTGCCATTACCATTTTCAACATGTGAATGTGTCCACACAAAGAGGAAGAGGCTGCTCCATTCCAGAGTGTGGCTCACATACACATGCTACTCTGATATAGTAGCCTCCCTCATCACCTTCAGACTACAATTTACGCATACTGAAAGTCAAAACAGTGTAGGCAGGAGTTGACCACTCCCCTCAACACATGTGGGCTCCTCACAGAGAGGTAAGGACTGAACAGGGTTTAAGTCACAGTAGTTTAACAGACTAAAAGGCTAAAAACAAGAAAAGGGGTTGTCAAAAGGACAATGGACACAGGTTACTCACTTCTAGCATCTACCAGCTAGTAGATCAAGGCCCTGAAAGGTATCTTTTCTCCAGCTTTTAATAGTAAGATTCTACCAAGATCATGTCAATTCCCAACTCCTATCTCATATGCTGCTAACTCAGCAAAGTCCATGTGCATTTCTATTATCATGAGCAAGATGAACATTTAAAACAAGATGCCCCCAAAGTATGAACGTAGAGAAGATGAAATGGGAACCTTGGTGAATACAAGAGACCAAAGTTACATCTTAGCTTCCTGTTTCCATGAGAACAAAGCAGTGAACAGTTCTAAAACTGTGCTGTCCTCTGAAGATGCCGGCCACAGAGACTGACAAAACGTTAGGAAGAACAACCTTCAGAACATGGTCAAAGAGCCCGAAAAACCCACAACAACCAATCCTAAAACTGTTTTTCCACAGCACATCAGAAAGACTCTTGTTGGAAGAGGCCTCTTCCTGTAATGGATATACTATAATCTATGAACTATGACTAGAAATGAGTCCTAGATATGTCAAACATTCTGGCAAACACTGAAAGACTCATACGTAGGGCAGGAGATACAACGCCTGACAACAGTAATATTCTTTTGATAATCCAATGAAGCTAAATCTATGAAATTCCTCTACTTCAGCTGCCTTTCATGGGAAATCAGGTTTTCTCAGCATCTTATGGGACAATCTGGACAATCACTGTGGTACTTGGCAGAATGACAGCTTTGCCCAGTAGTCAGTTGACTAAATGGGCGGGGTACAAATTCAATGAATAAATAAATAAATAAAATAAAACATTTTATTTGATATATTCATCTTGCAGAAGCCTGCAAGTGAGCAAAGTGACCCTATATTCAATGAATCAGGATTGCTACAACGATGACTACATGCTTTGTAAAACAAAGCAAGGAGGCAAAGCAGCTAAGACACCGTCATAAATATTACCAATACTTTGCCTTTAGTGTCCAGAATCATTTCTTTGGGAGGAAAACCCTAAGGGCAATATTAACCCCCTGATATGCTAGGGAAGTGAAGACATAAGCCTGGGAGAATGTGGCTTGCCAAAGAGAGGCAACTGCAAATTCACCACAGGCCACTAGCCTGGGATTAGATAAAACAGTTTGAAAGGGTATATAAATATGTAAGACAATCTACAAACTAAAAGGAATTAACAGTCTACTTGAACAAAATCTTCTTGAAGGACAGTTTGTTTGCCTAATCTGTCACAGCACCATCCAGCATGACAACACTTACACTTGCTATATTTTTAGCAATGGGACGGCTAAGTATCAACACACAATTCCTCCTTACACATTCTCCTTAGTACCAAAGGTACTGTATGGAGCAATGTATGTAGCTGGAGTGCACAGTTAAGAGGGAGAAAGGAGGGGAAGAAAGAAGGGGTGGGGGTGGAAGAGGAGAGGAGGGATACAGTATTAATTATACCATGTGCTGTGGTAAACAATTTTTCTAGCTATTACTACACTAGGTAATTAATGTGATTTTTATTTTACAAAGTTGTTTCCCCAAAACATTCTCATTTGATTATTCATAAAGTAAACTGTGCTTCTGTTTCTGAGAAAAGTTCACAAGCATTGTGTTCTTGAAACATAATCCATGCTGGCAGCAGGGCTTGGCCTCCCTGCACCCCGTGTCTAAACTAGGAAACCTTTGATTTTTAAATGCTTCCTCTACAGAAAATTCTGATGAGTTAGTTTTCAAAGTGCAGATCCAACCAAGATCAGACAAACATACAGTGCTTAAGGTGGTACTGGACTGGTCCAAATATTACAAAAATGTACACCACTTATCAATGTTTCTTGCCCCCATGAATATTTAAATTAAGTCCTTATAACCATATTTTCTTTGAGCAGAAAGAAAACCATTTCTCGCATTTCTAAAGCCATCTAACCATAACACCGATAACTATGAAATCATGAGGGAACAATATACCGCACCTTTCACTGCAGACAGCAATTTCAAAAGATTCTGGACTTTTTCATGCTTTAACAGGTTGATGTTCTGGCCAGTGTTTTCCGAACAAACTTGCACAAATTGATCAAAAGCTTCTTGAAGTGAGGTGGCAGCATCCGCAGAGGCTCTGCTTTCAGTCTCTCTTGCTTTGAACAACATTACAAAAGACAGTTAAGACTGAGTACAGTTATGCCTCGACTTAGGAACGCCGCTACCTACAAACATTTCGACTTACAAACAGCTCCGCTCGCAAAATTTTGCATCAACTTGCGAGCAGAGCTTCCACTTACGAACAGAAACAGGCAGGGGGAAAAGGCAGGAAATTCAAACTGTTGGTGGCGAAGAGGCTGCTTATTTGGAGCTCTTTTGCCTCAACGGTTAGAGCAGAGGGGTCAGGGAACTTTTTTACTCCTGCAGAGCAGGAGGAGGGAGAAGCGGGGGCAGCTCTGGATCGCTGCCGGGTACAGGAAGCCAGCGTGCTCCCTGCAGTGGGTTTACTCATGAGTAAGCCCCACTGAAGGCACAGGTCTACTCATGAGTAAGAGCCCCCAAAGGACCTTGGCTGGGGCACACGGGTCGGAGGGGCTCCTCCATGGACGGAGTGTGCAGCAGCAGCATAGGAGGAGGAAGGAGAAGCGGGGCGGCTCCAGTTTGCTACCAGGCGCAGGAAGCCGGTGTGCTCTCTGCCCATCCTTGGTACGGGTCTACCCATGAGCAAGGCCCACCAAAGGCACGCATCTACTGATAAGTAAGGGCCTGCCGCCGCCGCCTCGGCTGCCCTATGCTCCAGCCAGGGCCTGTTGCCGGCCGCCTTCCACTGGGGAGTGAGTGCCATCGGAGGAGGCTTCCGTCTGCCTGGTAAGGTGCTGCTTTTTGCTTTTTAGAAACTTCTGGGCGGGTTTTGCAGGGTGAGTTTCAGCTGAGTGGAGTTATGTTTCTGTGCTGTGTTGTGGGTTTTCTGTTTTTGTTTTTTGTTTTTTGCAGCCTTCGGGGTTTGCTCTGTTTATTTTTGATTGTTTCTTAAGCCCCAGTGCCTTCTAATGGGGCTTTGTGTGCTTTAATTTTTTTTTGTATTTTTTTTGAAATGCTTGAATTAATTGGATTAATTCTGTTCCCATGCATTTCAATTTTAAGCCCCGGTGCCTTCTAATGGGGCTTTGTGTGCTCTAATTTTTTTTTTTTTGTATGGATTGAACGCTTGAATGGATTAATTCTGTTCCCATGCATTTCAATGGGAAATGGTGCTTTGACTTACGAAAATTTTGAGTTATGGCCACCGTTCCAATACGGATTAATTTCGTAAGTCGAGGCACCACTGTACTCAGTTTGCGAGGGGGAGAGAATGTGTAGCCTGTGTAATTAAACTGTAAACCACCCAGAGAGTGCTTTTAGTGCTATAGGGCAGAACATAAACAGCACAATTTGCTTTTTTCGTTGGTATGTGTGAAGTGATGAGAAGGTACCTTTTGTAAGTCACTGTATATGTCAGTCTGAGTAGGCTGTGATAGCCAATATGCATCTGTTTTAACTGCAAGATTATTATTTCTTAAAATGTCTATGACCACAGCTATCAGTGCGGGCTACCCTAGAATCATTATTTCATGCAGGAATACATTCTGTTGGTGGCGTTTCCTAATCGTCCCCTGTTCCCATCCGTCATTACTGGAGGTTGAGACAGAGGACACTGTTTTACTAGTTAGTAATGTTCTATGCTACTTTGTTTTGGGGGATGCCACACCTTACCACTTGAAGTAACCAGAGGGTGCTCCCACCCTCCTGGTTTTGTTCAATGCCAGTCTGAGACACAAGCAGGGACCCTGTTGCTTTGCTTACCCCGCCGTGTCCTTCCAGCAACCTCCAGTGTTGAGACACATTAGAGGAAAAAACGTCGTCCTCCAACATTTATTGGAGTGACGCAAGTGCTGGGCCACTTCAGATAACCATGTTGCATGCTCAATACAACCAAGTACAGAAGTGCCTGGTTACAGTACAGTATATAAGAGATTATATACTGCATATATAATCTTATATACAGTCTATTAAAGATTCACAGGGTAGGAAGAAGCAAGTTACTTCTCATTTTTTACATATAAGGGTAATGAAAAAGTAACCAAGTTACATTATTAAAGTTATGCAAAAAGTATGAACAGAGTGATTGCATTGGTGTAGATTTTAATGTTTTATAGTTCCTATCAAAAGTTATTTCTAAAGGTCACTCTAAGAGATATTCTGACAAGAATTTTTCAAGATTCATATCAATACACATCATGTAGTCTAAGACGCCTTTTTGAATACTCTACAGCAGTGGCTTTTAACCTTGGGTAATCCAGGTGTTCTTGTCCCAGAATACCTGGGTTACGCAAGGTTAAGAACCACTGCTCTATAGCATGTACAAATCCCCGGGTCAGAACCAGTCCAGGCAGAGAAGGAAAACTTAAATCCCTCCCTTTGGATGTTTTATTCCCCCCACACATAAGAAATGGAAGAAAAATCTTCACTGCACCAATGGAATTGCCTAATTCTTTTTAACTCCCCAATGTCCTATATTGGAAACAAAACCTGAGTGGGGTGACATAACAAATCTAGATGGAAGCTGGACACACATATTCTTTGTAATGGTTACAACTGAACTCAGCAAGCAAGCCAACAAAGTACCTGGTGACTCCTGCACGTCTGACATACGCCTGGCAATGTGCTTGTCGAGGATATCCAGCACCTTAAATTTCTTGTTTTTCTTCAAGATATCCATGGCAGACCTTGACTGTTTATCACGGATCATTGGATTCACCCCAGCACTGAGAAGCATAACCACATCTTCTATTTGATCTAACATATAAGACAAATAAAGAATACACAATCCTCATTAAAGACTATCACAGCATTATAAATTTGACATTCACAGGAAGCAAGAACCTTGGAGGTCTGGCACTGATATATATGTAGACTTGAGAATTTTGTACAGTATCCTGATCTCCTATTTGACAACATTAGAAATAACATTTTCTTAAATAAAATTATCTTTCTATTGACAGGATGTGACATTTAGAGTTGCTAAATAAATTAAATCAGCCTTAGAGAGGAGGGAAGTTTTTTCCCCTTTAGTGTCAATATGTGCTTCCAAAAGCATTTTGTTTAATAATTACTAACTATACCTTGCTGTAACATTTTACTGTATCTTACATGTTTGATTTTCTCCTACATATTGCTTAATGATGAAAATTAGCCTCCCTCTTAACAGTAATCTTTTGTAATCTGCATGAAGTGTGATCAGCTCTTACTGCAATTTTGAAAATGGTCCAATGTTTATATGTAACACACTCTATTCCATGCTAGTCCCATTCAAACATGGATATCTATCTATCTATCTATCTATCTATCTATCTATCTATCTATCTATCTATCTATCTATCTATCTATCTATCTATCTATCTATCCACCTACCTACTACCTACCTACCTACCTACCTACCTACCTACCTACCTACCTACCTACCTACCTGCCTAATTTGTATGCTGTTGTTTGCCCATAAATTTAAGGTGCCTCACAGTAAGTAAAATATAAGCAACATTAAAAATATAATAAATTACTCAATTAAAATAATTAAACCTAAAATTGAATAAAAACTAATAATCTAAAACACTACAAGGACCTATAAATACACTTTAATAACATAAAGCCTGAGATCTCAGGAGAGTCCAGCTTTATTCCTCAAAGTAGTTAAAAAGCCTGTTTAAAAAGAATCGTGAGTGCTTGAAACAATGTGAAGGGAATTGTACCATTCAATTTGAAGCCATTCCACCCAGCTATAGCAACAGTGAGAGGGGCAGGGCAGTGGAGAAACTGGCTGCTGTTTGAATCCTCCTCTCTCCAAAATCTGTTTTCCTCTCCCCTTCCCATTTCTTTATTTTATCTTTTTTTTCCTTTTAAAGGGTTGCTGGCTTAGCACTAGGGCAACTAGATGACCAAAGGGGAAAAAAAGAAATAAAGGTCATCAGAGAGAGAGAAAAAGGAAGCTATCAATCAACCTAGTTTCCAGCTTGTTAAGGTAACCATGCTTCCTTCAAATTAAGACTACCATAGCAGAGCTATTTGAAGAAGCACAGCTGAGTGCTGACTTCCTTCCTTCTTTCTACTGATGCCTGTGTGGCCGGCTGAAGCAAATTAATCTGGAGAAATCCAACTTCCTAGGTGGGACACCCACTTGCATTTTTCCTGCTGTGTAGCTACACCCTAAAGCAAAGCAAAGCAAGTTCTTATTTCAAAATAAATTGGAGTACAAAATTATGTCTACCTCATTACAAATAAATATGTTCACCTAAAAACAAATGAAGAAATCTTGTTACTGCCCTTGGTACTCACAGTTCTTACCAAGTCTTTCTTTCCTGGCTGCCATCGTTAAAACAGCTCTCAGTTCCTCTAACTAACCTACTGGACCAGCCAACTCATGCACTAAGTACTCATTCCACATACAATATTAAGGCAATTAAGTACATGATTTAAAATCAAGTCATTTGACTAAACTTACACTGACAACATACCTAAACTTTATAAAGGTTTTGAGAGGCAAGTCCTTGAAATTACTGTAAAAATATTAAACAATTTAATACAATTTTGGCAATAAAAATAGGATTACCAAAATTACTACCAACATGGGCAAATGCAACCACTGAAACCTAGTAATAACAATGTGTGTTCAAAGCGATTCTGAATTAAAGCAAACCTCCAAGTGTTTTCTGGATGTAACGTATTCAAATGTGATTTGCCGATCTCTCTTCCAGTGGTAATCCAGGTGTGTGCAGGTTGTCCAAGGCTATAGAGATGACAGGGTATGAAACCTCATCAGCAACCCACACTCTGGATAACCTCAGCTACTTCTTCTCTGGAAGGAACAGTGGGGATTCAAACACTTGACTACTGGCTCCACACCTGGTATTCCAACCCACTAAGCCATTCCACCTCAATTTATCACTGTTCTAGAGCACTTTCTTATTGTAGCTGCTATGCAGCTCTCACCCTGAATGGCCACTCAAGTTGTTACCAACCTTCTTGTTTCCATCTTGACTCTTCCGCAGCACTGCCCTTCCTTGCTTAGAACTTCTTTTCTTTCTTCTTGCTTTTCTCCTCCCACTTATCTTCTGAACTCTCCAGCAACTCCTTGCTATTAGTCTTGCTGCTGCCCGCTCATCTTTTATACAATATTTTAACTTTCCCTTTCAACCACTTGGGTAATCAGAAGGGCAACAAAGTTCTGTTATGTTTTGATTTCCCCTGCTAAGACCCAGGTTTCTTCCCCCATCCCCTTAAGTTGCAGTTTTCTTGGATGCCCTTCAAGAGTGCTTCTTGTCCCCAAAGGGCAAAACACAAAATGGCTGAACTGTTTATTTCATTCACAGGTACTTAATTCAGAATATACCGATACATAATATCATCTGAGTGTTTGCTAAATATAGCAGTGGCATTTAATCCTCAGAATCCAGGACTTTTATCAAATAAGTATTCAAAACAGGATGACATCAAAAAAACTAACTAGCTAGAGCAAGTTATTGTTTATCAAGCAAATGAACAAAAAAAAGAAGCCTTCGCTAAAACAATGCCCTAATTCTACCTGCATTGTGAAACTCAAGGAAAGGCATAAGGGGGTCCCCCATAGGCATGGATCAGACCAAGATCAGCTTAGGTGATTACATAATTGGCCTGGTACACTTCATGCTGTCCTCTCTGACAGAAATACCAGATGCAGGATATGTCCTGTATTTCTACCAGAAGACTAAAAAATGGAGCACCATTTCTGCAGCTTGTGCTAGGCAGAACTTTCTCTAAAGAGACAATTATTTAGCTATCTGTCATGCATAGCTAATTGCTTTAATGATTTAAATAGCACTAACTATCTTCCGTCTTTCAAGGACAGGAGAACCTTAAAATTGACACATTATTAGGTCACAGAAATATGGTGCTACATCAGATAATTGAATTTAATTGAATTTACTTTATTGTCATTGTACTTCCATACAACGAAATTAAATGCCATCTCCAGTACACATAAATAAAACATACAAAAATATAGCATCCATAACATGAAAACATGGCACATTACACATAAAACACATCCTTCTCATTCACATCCACATCCTTCACATTCAGTTTCCCATTGTACAACACATTAATATTGCACCATACAGTGGAATTCAATATAGCTTCAGCTCTGGGATAGAAACTGTATAAGCAATAATGCTTGCAATTAACTTACTTCTCAAAGTATAACCACTGGACTGGGAGGCTACAATATGGAGAACTGTGAAGCCATCTTCATTTTGCTGGTTGATATGATCCTTCAATTCAGGCTTATGATTCAGTAACCACTGGAAAAGGTGGTTTCCTTCTAAATAATTAAAAAAATATGCACCTTCAATTTAAATGAACAGATAGTCCAAGGTCCAAGAAGACTGGGTAGGTTTTTTTTGTTTTTAAAGTCAACTGTTTTTAATTTACTTTATCTATTTTGCATTAAATGAGAAAAATTGTAGGATGCACATTGTTTGGTATATTCACCCTGCAGAAGTCTGAAATATGGCCAGAGCTATTCTAATGCACAGTATAGTACCTATCGCTTTATTTATTTCGCGTTAAATGAGAAAATTGTAGGATGCACATTGTTAGGTATATTCACCCCGCAGAAGTCTGAAATATGGCCACAGCTATTCTAATGCACAGTATAGTACCTATGAAGTTCTCACTTGCTTTGAAGTCATTTTGCTTATCAGTCCCAATCTAAAAACTTCCTGAAGTACAAGCTGGGAATGAAAACTGACTTTCTACCTTACCCATGACACAACACCAGGAACTGCTTCCAGCTCAGTTTACTGAAATATTTTTAGACTGGACTCCAAGGCAAAAGGAACCCAAAAAATAGTGATGGATGCATATGAATTGTACTGAGAAACAGCTGACACATGTCATAATGATGGAATATGTAGTCAGAGAAATGTAAAATGGAGTCAGACAAATTCTGTGTGAGGATGATTTGAGAAACATTGGAATGTGTTTTTCTAAGTGCCATGAGAATGTTTTTCTGAAGACCGTTACAGCCTTGTTCAAGATAGCATGAAGGCCAAATTGGGAGGCCTGTGGAAGACTCAACATTTCAAGCTAATTGGGAAAGACATAAACAACACCTGGACTCTCGTGGGAATAAGGGAAGGAGGAAGGTGGTGTAGCCTCTTGAGGCTAATTGGTTCACAGGCAGAATTGTCAAGAAGAAAGGAGGAGTTGGAGAGCGTAGAAAAGTGGACGATCGGTTATATGAAAGTAACTGAATGTTGTTCAGTGATTCATGTGTTGTTCTGTTCTAAATTTCGATTCCATGATGATGGGAGAGAAAAGAACTTGATTGAGAGAGGATGTAAGTAAAGGAGAAAGGAGGAGGTGGGGCTAGCCCACTATAGCCCACCTTATCTCAGCTTGGTAGTGTTTTAGTATTTTAATGGGAAATAGTTATTTTATTTAACTGCAATGATCTTTGAATATGTTCTTGATGCTTGTGCAATATAAACTGATTCTAATGAAACTATTTTTCTAATAAAAATTAATTATAAAAATTCTACAAAAGGACTGGTCTCTTGAACAACCAGGGTCTGGCTAAATCCAGGAGGTGGAGAGGACCACAAACTAGCTATATTTTAAGAGTCCTACCTAACTGAGCTTTAGTGAGTTCTAAGGAATCACAAAGCCCATGTGCCTGTACTTGCAAAATACTGTACTGGGTAAACATAAAGTGTTCTTTTAAGGTCAGCCATATTCAAAGGGCTTACGCTATGCACTGCTGAGGTCCTGGGACTTGACCCAGCACGAAAGTGGTAGGTAGGCAGCCTGTCGGACTCTCTGACCGAGTGCAACGTGCCCTTTAGGGGGATTTACTGCACCACATGTTCACATTTCTCACTTGAGGAGGCTTAATTAGTCTCTCCCAGACCTGCTACAAGCTTATTTCTCTGTCCCAGGTTTAGCGGACCCAATTTTCAGAGCAGGAGCGAGGACACTTTGGTCCTCTAAATGTTTCAGAATATAACCCTTGCACTGTCTTGCTATTAGTAGGTGAGCTTGGAACTGAAATCCAAAAGGGCTAATCTGGAAGACTACCCCCCCACCCGGGTTGTAGTTCTCAATTTGGAAGCCACCATTTCGATATGGTCAAAGTTGCTTTCAGTGTAAAATTAACGTCCAGATTAACGGCACCACCATCAGTCACTTCAGAGAGGTTCTTTTTAAAGGCACTTACTTGCTCTGATACAAAGCATGATGACGGCATGGAGAGGATGGGCTCCAAGGCTCTCTACACTTGCTCCAATAGAGATCAGCCATTCCACTAGTTTAGGCACCCTTTCCATTCTTTCATATTGGCCCTGAAGGACATATTTCTGGTGGAATGGGAACAGAAAACAAATTCTCAGATCACATGGTGCATGGAGGATCTCCATCCTCTATTGCTGCTCCTATCTAAAGAAAAGGCATTTAAAAGAGTAGGATCCAAATAGGTGACTTAACAGATCTATCAACAACCCCCCCCAATGATTTTACCACTCAGTTCCCTCAGTTCAAGAGAGTCAAAGGTCAGTGCTGCAGTAAGCTGACAGCAGAAGAATTCTTAGAATAATCTTCTCTTGATTATACCACTCATTTTGCAAGGCAGATGTAAGTGGATACTATGTGTGTGTAAATTCCAGTAAAATCAATTTTTCTCTTGCCCAGGCTGAGGTAAGAGCTGTATAAAATAAGGTAATTGCGGACTTTAGCTCTGCTTTTAATACCATTATACCCCAGAAATTAATAAACTGAAAGATCTAGATTTTCCAGATTCTATCTGTCTGTGGATTTTGGATTTTTTAACAAATCGTCCACAAAGGGTTAAATTGAATGATTACATCTCTACTGACAAGATACTCAGCACTGGCACTCCACAAGGTTGTGTCCTTAGTCCACTACTGTTCTCCATTTATTCATCGGATTGCACCAATAACCACCCCAGTAATAGAATTATCAAATTTGCAGACGACACTACACTAGTAGGACTTATTTCTGGGGATGATGAGTCTGAGTATCGGGATGAGGTATTACAGCTATCCCGCTGGTGCAAAAAAACCAATCTTCTATTTAACATCCAAAAAACCAAGGAATTTATAGTGGACTATAGGAAAAAAAGAGCAGACATTCAGCCACTGTATATAGATGGAGTTTGTGTGGAACAGGTGGTTGAATGTAAGTTTCTTGGGACCATCATAACAAATGACCTGACTTGGAGTGCAAACACTGCTGCGTTAATCAGGAAGGCGCAACAACGGTTGTATTTCCTAAGGACTCTTAGAAAGCAGCAATTGACTGAGAGTTTGTTAACCACCTTCTATCAGAGTTCAATTGAGAGCATATTATCCTACTGTCTCTGTGTATGGTTCACGAGCTTTTCTCTTCACAGTGGCAGAGAAAACGGCAATTCAAAGGGTGATTAAGACGGCCCAAAACATCATTGGCTGTTCACTCCCCTCTTTGGAAGAATTGTATAAGAACAGATGTAAGAGGAAGATATCTAACATACTGAAAGACTCCTCTCATCCGGGACATCAGCTCTTTAAATTATTACCATCGGGAAGGAGATTTAGGGTATTGAAAGCAAGGACAAGCAGATTCAAGAACAGCTTTTACCCAAGTGCAGTATTGAGTTTAAATGCGGGGTCATAAGTTTTTGGTAGAATTTTAATTGCTGGGAGAAACAGGGTATTTATATTTGTTTGGTGAGTGTTGTGTATATTTTTAACTTTTTTTTGTAGTGGTGTTGTCCAGTTTTACCTTGGGGAAGAGCACCTCATTTCGTTGCACCCACTTGTGAGTGCAATGACAAATAAATTTCTTATGTCTTATGTCTTAATTGAACTAACACAAAGTTTAGCTAGCTGTTGAACTTTCACAAGTTAGTGCAAGGATGTTATCCAATGTCAGCTTTGTTACAGAAGCAGTTGTACAGTCTCATGCACAATGAACTCAACTCTAATAGTGGCCATTTTTATCCCACTCATGTTACACTGGGTTTTGGCAAAATGATTTCTACTGAAAAATGTGGACTGACCTCAAACAGATCTTTCAGTGACAAAGTGGCAACACGTAGATTCCTTGGCAACTTGTCTTTCTCAGCAGCTAGCAATAGGCAAGCCTGGGAGAAAAACACAGTATATATTTTGTCAAGCTACAGCCTTTAACTTTCAAATATATTTATACAAGAAGTATTTCTCAGATCTCTCTGATGACCAAAAACAGCATTTTCAGACTGTGATATAAAAGGGAAAGGGAGAAAAAAGGAGAGCCAGTATTCTGATACCATCATTCTAAGATTTTGCATAAGAACTACTGTAAATTAGTGAACCCTCACACCCCAAAATTCTACTTATTCACATTCCTAAATGTCCAATACTCCATCCATAGAGGTGTTCAAACAAGCATCAAACAAGAGAATTGGCATGGCATTCAAATGGACAACTGTGCTGCACAGGGAATCATGGGAGCACAACTGACATTTCTGCCTGCCGAAACTCTTTCTGGCAGGGAGACTGCACTGCGGGCCAAACTTTGACCACTTTTGATATAACTGCACACCTATTATCTCTTTGTCATCCTAATGCATGTGGACAAAAATAATGGTTTCTACCATTATCTGCTAAGTATACAAATTAAGAAAGCAAATCAATAATTAATGTTAGGTAAAGGTTCCCCCTTGACATTTAGTCCAGTCGTGTCTGACTCTAGGGGGCGGTGATCATCCCCATTTCCAAGGCATAGAGCCAGTGTTTGTCTGCAGAGAGTTTTTTCCATGGTCACGTGGCCAGAGAGACTAGACACGGAACACCGTTACCTTCCCACCGTGGTGGTACCTATTTATCTACTCACATTTTTACATGTTTTCGAACGGCTAGGTTGGCAGGAGTTGAGACAAGCAATGGGAGCTCACTCCGTCTCATGGATTCGATCTTATGACTGCAGGTCTTCTGACCTTGCAGCACAGAGGCTTCTGTGGTTTAATCTGCAGCGCCACCACGCTCCTTATGTTAGTTTATACCAAATGCAAACAGGGTTTTGTAACCTCAAGATTTGAAAATTTTAGCAAAAACATTTCAGAAACTATGATAATTTTTCATTTTTTTAAACCTATGTTAGAAGTGGTATGACCCTTACCTGCCACAAACCTTTCCTCACCAACTTTTCAATCACCTGCTGCCAAACCAGTGGACTGAAACCATCACTCACAATTTTCTTACAGATCGATAAAATATTTGGAGTAATAGCCCTTACATCTAAGGAGGAAAATGCAATAGAGTTCAGCTTGCAGAATTATTATTTACTACTAGTCATACCTGGTGCTCTTCCAGTGCAACCATTCCCCTTTAACACCAACAGAAAGCAGGAAATGCAGTTATACCGCAAGAAACAAGCTAGGCTACAGAAGCCTATTCTGTGGTCCATCAATTGCTGTCCCCACTGGGACATCTAGCCTGGCATACAGACCAGGCTTGGGCTACCATCATAAAGGCTTGGTCTACACATGCAGCAGAAAGAGCGAGGATGATAAGGAGGGCAGGATAAGTTGCAAGTAAATTCCTTTCTGAAGATAGCACACCACCGTTCCAAATGTTCCTCTTGAGCAAGTGAATGAGCAAGCAAGAGGAGAAAGAGGAGAGAGAGAGGAAACAACACAGCAGGGACAACGGTTCTATTCCAGTATTTGCCAGACAATGCCTTCTACACCCATAAGCAGTCCCTAAATATGCCACTCTCCCCTATGTAATTAACAAATAATATTTCATGTTACGTACTGTTAACACTTGAGAAGATACCAACGATAAAGTCAGAGACCTGACCCACATCCGATGAACGCTGAAGAAAGTTCAAACCTTGACAAAATATTCCAGCAGCATCTAGGGGACGTGACAATTTAATAAGAGAATAACCAATTCTATAGTACCCCTAGGGAAAAAAATAAAGAAAAATCTCAAGTGATAATCTATTAGAATATATAAATTGTAATAAGTAACCGAACTGCAAAAATAAAACTCACATATTCTTAAACAATCATATACTAAATAATAGTTCTAACCACTGTGGTGAAAGCAGAAGACACTATCGAACAATGGAACGTGTTGTCTAAAATCCAGTAGTAAGTTGCAACTAGAGTAGTCCCACTAAATTAGGAAGAATTTGGGGAATCAGCACATATTTAAATTTCATACATATTAAATATGCTTACTCCAGTTGCTACTTACTACTGGATTTCAGACAATGACATCTAAATATTTGGACATTTAAAACCCATATCCAGGTTGGTCTCCTTTCGTTTCTTCTTCCCTCTTCCCTCTTCAAGTATTGTGGAGATCTATGGAATGCTGTATATATTAACATAAGAACATAAGAAGAGCCCTGCTGGATCAGGCCAAGGGCCCATCTAGTCCAGCTCCCTGTATCTCACAGTGGCCCCACTGGATGCCTCTGGGAGCACATGAGGCAACTAGATACATGTCTCCTGATATCCCTCCCCTGCATCTGGCAATCGGAGGTACCTTCCTTCTAAGCCTGGAGATTACACATCCCCATCATGGCTTGCAACCTGCGATGGGCTTTTCCTCCAGGAATCTGTCCAATCCCCTTTCAAAGGCATCTAGGCCAGATGCCATCACCACTTCCTGTGGCAAGGAGTTCCACAGACTAACAACATACTGGCTGAAATAGTGGCTAAATCTAAACTTACTTTAAAACTTTTAAAAATGTTTTTAAAATTCTTTGTAATATTGGTTTTAATACTGATTATTATTTAATTGTTTTTAATATACAGTAATTCTTTATAGTATTTTAAACCTGCTACCATTGTATAGTTTTAATTGTTGTGAGTTGAGTTCCCTATGGTAACATAAAAACAAACAAAGAAACAAATAAATAACATAACATAATTTTTTTAAACATCATCAGGTTGTTTGTTTTTCAATTTAAAACATTCTTTGCTTATTTGCCTGGATATAATTCTTATTTGCCAGTCTACAACCAACATTGAAATATTAAATCAGCACATCTCATTCTAGTTCTATTTTTTTTAACTGAGACCTTCAAGTTTCAAAATAAACCATCTATCTATGGCACCGTTATGTATTAAAACATTCTTATACCTGAGACATTACTAGTTTCTAGATATTACTAGCATTAATGTGACAGGAAAACCTCCAACTCATTGCACTTCATCAAACATAAACACAAATGCTGTATTTAACTGCTTCAAAATATTTATTATTCAAAACTTAACAGTTTTTTAAGACTATGCAACATAAAAGATATTTCTTTGCGCACCTTAACATAAGTCGGATCCCACTGGAGACTATCTTGGGCTGAGTAATAGGCTTCATTCCATTTACTCAAATTGTAAAACGCATTTGATCGATTGCACAATAAAACTGCCATTTCTCGATGGTGATAGAGACTAAAAAGATGAAGAATTTAAATGAAGTTATGTGAATCCTTGCACAAGTGAAGATGAGGAACTGCGACATTCTTCTCTTTGCCTGCTGTTCCTGACAGAATTGAACATTTTTGTATCTTTTTTTTCTAAAGGGTGGCTGGGACAGCAGAGCCATGACAATTTCATGCTAATTTTGAATTTTTTAAAAAATGTACTTAGATTGAAATCTGACCTTACTACAGTCACTTTGACCTTCTTGAACCACCACTATGTTAGGAAAATAACAAACAATCAGGTAATTGCCAACATCATGTGAATAACTTGGGTTGCTGGGACCTAAGCTCAAATTTAGAAGCAAGCTCTGGACAACTAACAATTTTCTCAATCAAAACTTACCCACTTGTTTGGCCCAAATATGTCATTACACGTATTGCTTCATCATACTTTTTGATGGCTATAGAGTAATTCCCATTTTTGAAATCTTTATTTCCTTGAGCTTTCATGAATTCTGCATAAGCAATGGGATCACCCACACTAAAGGGATCCATTCTGTAAAAGAAAGGAGAGAAAAATACTATTAAAATACAGTTGCCCCAAATGCGATCAATTCATAAGACAGCCTATTGAAACAGCAACAAAATACATTTAAAAACCACTGGAAGGGCAGATCCTGAAGCTGAGGCTCCAATATTATGGCCATCTCATGAGAGGAGAAGACTCCCTGGAAAAGACCCTGATGTAAGGAAAGTGTGAAGGAAAGAGGAGAAGGGGCCGACAGAGGACGAGATGGTTGGACAGTGTCATTGAAGCGACCAACATGAATTTGACCAAACTCTGGGAGGCAGTGGGAGACAGGAGGGCCTGGTGTACTCTGGTCCATGGGGTCATGAAGAGTCGGACACAATTTAATGACTAAACACCAACAAAGTGGTTAGAAAATTAGTGGTTACCACAAAAAAATAACTATAATTCACCTTGTACAGCGTAACCACAAGCAAGATCTCGACACAAAGGAATCCTTTCCTAACAATAACCTCTTCTATTAGTTTTAGGCTCTTATGTTTTGAAAAATCCAATTACAGTGGGGTCTTGACTTAAGAACGGCTCGAGTTAAGAACATTTTGACTTAAGAACCACTCTCATAGGAAAATATTGACTTGAGTTACATACTTAGATTTGAGTTAAGAACTGAAAAAAAAAACACGTGGGAGGCAGGGAAAGTGCAAAATTTGAACTTTCAGTTAACTGTTGGCCAGTGGTTACCACAAAAAAATAACTATAATTCACCTTGTACAGCGTAACCACAAGCAAGATCTCGACACAAAGGAACCCTTTCCTAACAATAACCTCTTCTATTAGTTTTAGGCTCTTATGTTTTGAAAAATCCAATTACACTAAAAACACATTTTCTACTTTTGGGTTGTTACTATTTTTTGTTTGTTTAATCATTTAGTAGCAGAAGAATCCATAAAGCAATTGATGGACAGAAAGAATGTTGTTCTGGTCAGGCTCTCTTTGCTAAAGCCCAGTGAAAAAGAACTTGTTGTAAAAAGCCTGCTGATGGTTTACAAAGATAACTTGTTCCACTCATCAACGGCAAAAGATTCAGTAAAGGCACCCATGCATTTCAGCTGTGCTATACACTTTTTTAAAGGGCAGGTGCATGATAGGTTGAATGATGATGCAGAGCAGCCAAAACTCCCTAGTCCTGGCAGTCCTGCCAAAGAGAATTTCAGCAGCAAGGTGTAAATCCCTAAAACAAAGTGTGCTGTCAGCTGAAAAGCTCTCGGTTTAAAACTGAACTGAAGATATTCACACACATATTAGAGTTCCTACTTAAAAAGAGCATATCTTTTTTGCTTCTTTTTGATCGTAGGAATACAATATTAAAAGCAACTGTTGGATTAGTAGACCATACATATCTGGGAATATAATAAAGGCTAGTGTTTTGTTTCCAAATTAGCAGCAAGTCAATGGGAAAAGAAAATATTGAGCTTTGACAATTACTCTTATAGATTAACATGATTATATTAATGTTATCCAGAGCCCTGCTTCTAAAAGCGCTCCCTCAAGTCATGGAAAAGGTGTTACTGAAAACATGTAAAAAGGGAAAGCAGGCATCACTGGAATTCTCTCTGGAATGTAAGCAAATATTTCCTTTCCATGTGGAACACCTAAGTCACATATAACAAAGCTGCTGGGAAGAAAATGTCAGGGCAAGAAAAACACAAATACCAGAATGTATGCTTTGCCACTTAGAAGCCTTTAGGTTTCTGGCACTAAATCCCAAATTATTAGTACCATATATTTATTTATTCACAGACCCTCCTGTCCCTCTATACCTATGCTAGACTGAAACTGCATGGGGGAGGAATGTGGGAAATACTACGGGTTTAGGGCAGGCTGATTCACATTTTTTCCATTTATTACTTGATGCAAAGGGAAATATGAATAAGCCTAGTTTCCTCCCCAACCCCATTAACAGTTTATCCCTCCACTGTTGGGTCTTCTACTGTCAAATATAAATACACACACACAAACATTAAACAAGTTTTAAACAGCTTGATGTCAGCACTGACATGCTAGGGCACCTAGAGAGCAAAACAAAATATAGAGAACAAGATAAATACAATAATACAATGTTCAAACACTTTGTATCAATATAGCAGGGATACCGGTCTGTAGCTTTTGGGATCATATGGTTCTTTGCCTGATTTCAGTATAGCAATTACTTTTATTTTTCACCATATTTTTGAAATTTGTTTGGTGATCCAGCAGTTATTAAAGAGCTGAAGGAGCCATTCCTTCTGTTTTGCCCAAAATGGTTAACTTGCTTTATCCAGATATCAGCTCCCACCACGTTGCCATTTCTACACCATGGTATCCTCCTGGGGAGGCTCTCTGAGTTGGGTATCAGTGGCTTGGCTGTGGCCTGGTTTCGTTCCTTCTTGGAGGAACGCCCCCAGAGAGTGCAGCTTGGTGAGAGTATTTCGGCCCCGTGGAGTCTCAAATGTGGGGTTCCACAAGGGTCGACTATTTCTCCAATGCTGTTTAATATCTATATGAGGCCGCTGGGTGGGGTCATCAGGGGGTGTGGAGCATCATGTCATCAATATGCTGATGACACCCAGCTGTACATCTCCTTTTCACCAACTGCAGGTGATGCCGTCCTGTCCCTGCAGCGCTGCCTGGGGGCCGTACTGAAATGGATGCAGGAGAACGGGCTGAGGCTGAACCCGGACAAGACGGAAGTTCTGAGGGTGGGTGGCCCTGTGGATAGTGGCTTGGGAAACTCCCTCATGTTTGGGGGGGGTGACCCTGGCCGCGAAGAGTGGGGTCCGCAGCCTGGGGGTATACCTGGACCCGATGCTCACCATGGAAACGCAGGTGGCATCGGTAGTCCGCACCGCCTTTTTCCACCTTT